AAACTCATGAAACCTTGTTTTGGAAACCTTAAGAAGACATTTGGCTATAAGGAAATACAAAACTTTTTAAATAAAAATATTTAGTTGCCAAGGAAAATACAATTTTCTACAAGCATTGAAATATCAGCTTCGCAAAAATGATAGAGTAAAACGGAACATTTGTATTAGAAATAAACTGTATATATACATCATATTATGAATAAAAATCACAAATAAATGTACTATCTCCTTTTTCTGCACTGGAGAAAACTAATCGGTCAGTTTTTATCTCATTTTCGATTCTAATTTGCTATACATCAATACAATGACACGCAAGAAATTAAAACTATAAACAAAGCGCATAGCAAGGGACTCCTGTTGTCCCTGTACCAAACTGTTCCGTTTTGCCCGCGCATCATAATTTAGAAAAGCATGTAAAATTTACAGTTTGGCATGAGATAAACAACTTAAATGCCAAAAAACAGTACAAGAAACGTAAAATCCAGTACTGTAGTTATTTCTTTCAATTTTTTAATCGAAAGGTAAACAAAAAATGCTTCAAACATCTATGTAACATCGAAACTTTTTCATTGCATATCTTTCCAATGCTTTTAATCGAAAAACAACTAATGCACTGTTGTGCAAACGATCTCAAACTACATCGAGGATTTATTAGAACCATGTCATGCGATATCAATTCCATACGAGCTCTTTATCTATGAAAAACATTACTGTCCCATTTTACCTGACCGTTCCGTTTTACCCTACTTTCTCCCTACATATCTGAAATAATTGGAAAAATAAACAGTGTCACTTCAATATTACAATGAATATATGAAGAAACCAACAAAAATTTACTATTACCATTTCTATAAGGATTACATAGTATTCATGTAAAGCATTCGGTAGTTCTGGTGTTAAATAATGTACAAATGGTTAATCTTCGGAATAATCGCTATTCTTATTTATGATACACGCCCATTTGTTTATGGAGTCGCCAAATTCTATCGTGATAAAAATTCAGTGCCTTTGATAAAACGAATTCATCTGGGTAAAGCTCATTGGGAAGAAGTTTTTATTACATCTAATATGCAGAAAAAATAAAGGGAGAAAATGTTTTATTATTTTTCATAACTAATATAACAGTATACGTAATATTTTATGTGTTAATAGTTTTGAAGAAATGAAGTTGCATTTTAATTCCTTAAACGAAATGGAATTTGTCACATCGAACGGAAACGTGTTTCGTTGAAGGTAAATTCAATCATATGCAATGCAAAACTGTACAAGATCGTGCAAAGTTGGGAATAGAAAAAATAATTGGAATACTAATATTTACTTGTATTTTCTATTGGTAAGGTTATACGGCGTGTATTTAAATAATACGCAACTTTATACTTTATTGACTTGAGAAGATTTTTAAGCGCTATAAATATATAAAAATCTATACTCTAATAAATCGAGGTTTGAAAATAATATAATGACAATGTAATTGACAGAGGTTCAAAATTAATTCAGAATTGGAAATTATATTCTACATATTATAATGTCTCATTAATAATATATTTTAATAAATAGGATAGTAAGAAATGTTTTTTTCATTGATTACGTTAAATCATTTTGGTCCCCATTATATCGCTTTTGGTTGAATTTATCTTGATATAAGCTTTGCTTATACTATTCGTATAAGCGAAAAATGAAAATTACCTTCGTTTTTCTTCAAAAATATTGACATACAAAGAGTTCACATATTATTATGCTAGTTAGAAAAAATAATGAATCTTCCTCTTCAATTTTTCTGTATATTTACCATATACGAGATTGTTGTCTAGTAAGTACATGATTATGCTATATACTGTACAAATTTTCTGATACATCTAGATATATTGGGGTTATATGGTAAAATAGTACTTTGTACACAACAGTTTATTTAATTTATAATATGACTCTCGAAGAATTGGAAATTTTCAAATATTTGCAGATTATTAATTAAGTTTAACATTAATTCATTAATTACTCGACGATTCAAATTATTTAACCCTTGCTCTTATTGCTTCACTTAGTGAATTGCACAAATAAAGAAAATCATAACGCTGAATTTATTTATTACATTGTATTGTATAAAACCATTGATTCCATTAATACTTAATTTATGTAAATATTAGTATTTTAAGAATGTACGATATCATAAGAATTATAGCATCGGATTACGTAGAAACTCTTTAAAAACATTACTTATTTTTGATTATATATTATAATCTTTA